ATGCTCACGCCCGAGCACGCGCCCGCCCCGGCCAGAGTCTCGTCTCGCCCTCTGTAGGCTCCGAATCATTTGCGACATAGTAGTAAACACACTCTACACTCGATTGCACAGTGACTGCTGCAGTCGCAAATGATTATTTCATACTATTTGAACAGACTCGATCAGGCAGGGCCGATGCTTCCTGCTACCCGACGCTCCTTGCTACACCTACGAGACCTACCCGCTATTCAGCCATGGGTGTGCTAGACAGTCTTCGATCGCCATACGTTCCGCAGGACATGTCCGGAGGAGCTGACGCACAAAATCCAAACCTGACGCGTTACGAGGCAAGCATGAGTTATGATGGCGGTGTATCTGTTACGCAGTGGTATACTCACAATGCGGTTCCTGGCAGCTTGCTAGTTCAAGAGGTTGGAGGTCGACGCTGCGATGATCCATATTTCTCCACAGATCACGCCCTTTGAGGGATGTCCAGGCGAATGGAATTTTCCCGGTGAGCCTGGTGTTTCGTCATTGACAGCGCCAGCCTGCAGATGTCATAACTCACATGTATACTACGATGGCGCCGACGCTCCAAGAATCTACAGCCGAGCCATAGGAGCATTGGACAACCTCGGGGGCGGCATATGCCGGTGTGCCACAGATAGTCTGAAATGTCAGTATCTTGTCGATTTAGGAACAAAACGTTGATTTCACGTACCTTGAGAGGCGCCCCATGAGTGATCTGCTTGGATAGACCGAAGTCCGTAATTTTGATGACCGGCCAATCGGATTTTGGCACCGAAGTGACGAGGATATTCTGCCAGATATCAGGTAAGAACTCACATGCATCATGAGTAACGACGAACGGCTGGTTTGAGGTCACGGTGTACAACAGACAGAGAATGCATGTAGGAGACTGCACTGCAGAGCTGTTCGGTAAGATGTCGCGCTTCGAGTGCATCTACCGTAGCATTAGTTACCTTATCAAGTGGTCTTCGAGAATGCTCACCTATTCCTCGCTGACTATGACTCAGACGATGTTGCCCGACGTATCTTTCAAGATTACCGTTCAGGCTGAGTTCGAGAATGAGACCTTGTTGATGAGCGTAAGCTGAGAAGGTCACCGGACGATTGAAGGATGCAGTCACATGTCTTTCCCGATTGAGGATCTTGCAAAGCCTCGTAGAATGTACAGATGTTTGGGTGTACGAGTAATGTCGCGAGCTTGATTTCGTTTGTGATGTAGGCTTTGCGAACGGTGTCATCTGCTTCGCAGTGCAGTATCTTGACAGCCCGGTAAGCCTTCGGGCCGTAACCCATGCGCTTGCGTGCCTTCCAGACCGCACAGGATGCCCCAGATCCGATAGGTCTATGCCAATCAACGACATACCCCTCTTCTAGGCATTTGCTGTTGGTCGTGGAGCTCTCGAATACGAAGACTGCAGGTGTTTATCAGACTGGGCGGCACAAGGTTCAGGTAGGCCAATCAACTCACCTCGGGACTCATTGACAAGCATAGGTGCACCAAGGCTGACCTTGTCATTATTCCTCAATAGAATACCCTCGGGCGTGGAGACCAAGGCACCATTCACCTTAAGGGAACGATCAGATACAGTCTCCAAAGATCATTCGTACATCTTACCCAGGTGCCACCCAACCTACTACGATTCGTGATTCTCACAACACCGAGATCGGGGTCAAACTCTATGCGACAGTGATACGGCTCTAGATTACGGTCACGATGTAGCAAGGCACAAGTTGGGACAGACTCACCGACCAACCGCCAGCCGCGTATCACTACATCACAATCTCTATGGGTGCCTAGCGAGTAGTAGAACTCGTCCTTCGCAAGTTCAATAGCCCAGCGCCGCACAAGTTTTCCGTGCCGGAAGGGAATCAGTTTGCCGAAGAGAGTTTGTGGGTCTTGCACGGTCTTCATGGTACGCAGATAGCAGAAAAGGTGAGAAGAGTTGAGTCCTGGTGTAGGAGGAATAAGGGACGCCGCGAGATGGGGGGACAAGAGACGCTCCAGCTGCGGCGTAGCACGCCTAAAGTACAGACAGCGAGGGGGCCCACTGAGCGTAAGGTGCAATACGGCTCGATGAACTCTAGACAGGCAACCTCACTGTGTATCAGCATTTGCCTCTTGTTGTTTACGTTTGCCGATGCAGTCATGAGGAAACTTATCGCCATAACATGATGAGTCAACATGGCATCTCTGACAAGAGACGCGAAAGATCTGTTTGACACATCGTCGTGACGCGACCTCGGCGTCTGCCCGACATGCGCGTCATCGCAAAGTCTGCGGGCGTTCGACACCCCAACGGCGAATCAAGATTGTTCGGACGAGAACAAAGAAGCGAGTGTTCTGGGCATAACACACAAGAAATAGAGACAACGATAGACCCCTATGCAGGTCGTATATCAGCGGACGATTCCGACGCGCAAAGTCGGCTAACATACACAACCCCTCCCTCCCATTGGCAGTCTCAATGACCATCATCAACGTCCGCCACATCTTCTTCGACTCTCCTACACAGTCCAAAGTTTCTTGCTCCGGGTGCTGTGACGATCTCGACAGCCAACGCCGCCAAGCTAACCCGCCTAACCTGGTTAGCACGATGAGCGACGAGGACTGCCGCAACTTGAACATTAGCTCCACATTGCACATGCCAGGGGCGTATCCGCGTCGTCCTCGTCCTCGTGGGTCTCGCCATGTCGTCGAAAAGCGGGGGCTTTGTCAGAGCGAGGCAGATACACCGGTACCGTAAAGGTATCTTTCTTGGACACTGAGCGCGTTTGACGTAGGTGCCTTGGTTGAAGGATCTCAAGCGGCGCCGTGCGGAGCTTCGCAAGCACCAGAACGATGAGGAGCATCATCAACAGAAGCAGGAGCACATTCGACGTAGGAATGATGAGTTGGCTCGTCGTCAGGAAGAGGCCCGTCGCCGTGACGAGGATATGATTCGACGCCTGGAGGCTGAGGCTGCGCGGTATCGCCTGTGTCGCGAAGAGGAAAAACGTAGGCACAAGGAGGGTGTGGAGCGCGAGCGTATACGCAATGAGTTGTTACGGCGCCAGCGCCAGCGCGAGGCGCAACGGCGTCAGGAGGAGGAGCGGCGGCATCAGAAGGAGCGGCAGCGTCAGGAG